AATGTTTTTGGAAAAATAAAAGCAGGAAAAAATATATAAACCTAGTGGCTGCTGAACCTGAAGAGGTTGCTCTAGTGTCTGTGGAAGCATTCCAGGATCTCTGCTTGCTGGAAAATTTTGCTGACATTTTTTCTTTGTAATTGTTTGTTTTGTAAAGAATAACAGTAAACATTCTAATGTCCACCTCTTGGTTAGTCTTCCACTTTATTGCTTGGATGTGTCTTTGGTTTTGGTAAGGCCACAGTCTGCTTTTTGCTTCGTTTTGTTGTTGTTGTTGTTTTGAATGGAGATTGATTCGTTAGGTCACCTGCTGATGATAAAGGTGACTGGGGAGGCTGGTGGTACTAAACCATGCAACACTGGTCCAGGAAGCTGACAAGGAATAACAAAGAAGTGAGCAAAATTGCAGCTGTCATGGAAAACTTCAGGAATTGCTGACTTGTACAACAGTGGCAATATTTGGTCCATGTCTTTGAGAAAAGGTGATGGGATTAGCTTGAGAAAGGCTCCGTTCCTAGTGCCCCTGGTTTTGCTCTGGAATGGGGACCCCCTAATTCAGTAGAATGGTGGTAAAGCCCCTCAGACGCAGGTGCCAGGATCATGCAAGTGGCACCACGGATGAGCACAACAGTGAAATCCTCAGCAACTTGCAGGACCTGCCTCGGCATACCTGCTGCCTTCCACCCATCATCCCTCTGACCAGGACCAAGCATATTTTGTCTCCTAAGGACAGTCAATCCTGCAGGATGCTGCCCTGGTCTCTGGGTTTTCTGATAGGACCCTCTCTATCTGGTCCGGAAGGTTCCTCTCCTTGAATTCAAGCTAACGCCGGTCCGAATTGACTGGCACATGTTCTCCTTCCCCTGTAACAAGCCCAGGCCAAAAGTTGCTATGGCTCTGGTTTCTAGAAAACCAGAAGCTGCTCTTGTCTTTTTTTTTTATCCTTTTAGTTTGTGCAATATATTCATCACCAAACCTTTCTGGCTGGTTTGCCTTTAAATGAGTCTTGGCCCCCCTTTTCTATACTGTTCCGTTGGCATCTGGGGCCATGGAGCCTGCTGACCACAATGGCAGGTGCTATTCTTGGGGAACCCATCTATCTTGCATAAGACCTTCCAACAGCAGCTGTTACTTTCTGTTTGAAAGCTCAAGCCCCAAGTAGACCCACCACTACGTCAGTTTCCAGCCTGGGGGATTTTTCTGGCCCTTAGCTCATTTGCACAACAGAGATGACACTAAACCCAGGGGCTCCCATATCCCCCTCCCCCCTCCCCAGCCCAGGTGACCAGCTCTCTTCCCTCGGCTCTCTCTGATTATTCGTCTGTGGATGACACATCTACCCCGTTGGGAGGACTGAACCATTATGTCATAAACTGCCCAACCCGAATCCGTTCTCTGCCTTGAGAGACCCACTTCAAACATTTGAGCCCAGACCTCGAAACCCTATAAATATTCTTCCTTGAACTTTCTTTCTGAGGCATAACTAACTGAAATTGTCAAGGTGGTGAGCTCTTTTTGCAGTGAGCCTAATAAACAGCTTTGCTTGCTCAACAGGTTTTTCTGATGGTCTTTTGGGAGCTGACTGAAACTATGAAATTTTAAAACGTTTAACTGTGTACCAAGTAAAATCACCTCATACACTATGAATGGTACACAGAGTACCCGTTGACAAACATTCCCTTTAAAGCAAACGAGAGGGAAGTGGTTGTTCCAGCACTGTGCTCTCTCCCCCTCTCCGCCCACGCCCTCCCCTCCCTTATTTTCTTCTCCTCATGTCCTCATCACCAAGGTCCTTTTGGTGCCTAATCTCTCCCCTCCTTCTATGACTTTAAAGGCAGGAACTAAGGGAGAAAATCTGGCTGTTGAGCAGATAATATCGTGAAAGTTAGAAAGTAATACCAGACGCTGTGGTTTGAAAAGATTGTTAACCTAAGACAGAATAATAAACCATTCACGGAGCCACTTATTACATTGGCCACTCTGTAGTCAAATTTCAAGTAAATGTGAAAATTTACCACTCCAGTACAGAGCAGTATCAAGCCCGGATAGTTGCTCACATGGTATGATTTTTTTTTTAATTTTGTTTTATTGCTTAAAGTAT